CAGTAAGTGCTGGGGGACACCTGGGGACGGCACCGCGGGGGCACGGGGAGCCACGCAGGCAGCCAGCAGGATTTTTCCTCTGCCGGGAAGTCTGCTGCGTGATGCTTTGGTGCAGCTAAGCAGAGGGAGGCAGTGGCGCCTGCCCAGCGTGGGGCTAACGGGCAATGCTGGGCTCGCACAGGACAGCCCCTCCTTGCCCAGCCCCCTTGCACCCATCCCTGCCGGGCAGCCTGAGGTGACCCTGGTGGGTCTGGACCCTGTTAGGGCAGGGGGTATGCGGTGCTGCAGAGCCTGCCTCGCCCAAGGGAGCCGCTGGGGAAGGGCAGGTCCCCCCGGCGTGGGTTGGGTGGGCCGTCGGAGAGGACCGCGGGGAGGGGGAAGCAGCCAGCGAGTGTGGGTGCCGTCCCCACCAACCCCCCACGAAGTGCTTCCCCCAGATGCTACCACTGCCTTCGCGGGGCAATGCTTCGTGGATGTGGCCGGGAAGGAGACACTGACCACCATGTGGCTGCTGCGTGAAGCCGTTGGGTCCCTCGAGGAGGACTGGAAAGCCACGAGGTAGTCGGGGGACGTGGGGGACAGCAGCCCCACAGAGGGGCTCTCCCTAGGACCCCTGAGGATGAGCATCCCCCTGGGTGAGGGGACCACCCCTGGGAACCCCCCAGCGTGGGTTTGCAGCGCGGATGCCAATGCCTCCTGGCAAGGGGCTTGCCCTAACCAGGGGCATCCGGCAGCTGCTCAAGGCAAGTTGGGGGGCATTTAGGGACACCCCTGTCACCTGCCGGCACTGGCAGCCCTGAGTGGGCGGTGTCTGCGGGTTGTCCCACAGGAACTCTCTGCTTCCCACAGGGTGGGCAGAAATGTCTTCACACGCAAACGCACCCCAAAAGGAAAGATCCTGCTGAGCTTGTCCCCATCCTGTGAGGATGCATATTCGCTTGCCCCATGATGGCATGCTCCGGCTGCAGGCCGGCCCCCCCAAGGCAAGCAAAACCAGCCTCTCACATAAAAATAGAATTTAAAAATCATGTCAGCTGTGGTCATCTTTTTAAAAAACTGCCCTCGCTCCCCCTCTGAAGCAGCTTCTGTCCCCACAAGTACACCTGCAGAGGTGAGGGCTCACCACTGCCCTTCCCCAGGGACATCTGGATCCCTCCCTGATTCCCCCCATCCAGCTCCCTGGGCTCATTTCCCACCCCATCCTAACCCGAACTTCCACTCTGCGCCACCACTCCCCGCCTGCCTGCCGGTGGCAGAGGTGGCATCAGCATCCCAAATCCAGCTGCCTTCCTTGCAGTGTCTTCATGCCCATCCCCACCAGACGCCTTTCCAGTCCCAGGACTCCGTGCTCCGTAGGGCCGGGTGATGGAGGTAACAGTATCGGTAGATGTGAGATATTGGTAAAGTGCTTCCTTCACACAGCACGGCACCCGAAGTAAAATGTGCACAGTTAAAGCCCCAATCCCATCATATCCCATCACATCCCATCGCACTCCATCGCATCCCATCGCATCCCATTCCATTGTATTCCATTGTATCCTGTTGTATCCCATCTCATCCCATTCCATCACGTCCCCCTGGGTTACAACCAGGGATTTTACCATTCTCTGCCACTGCATTTCGGCAGTACCACTCTATCTGCCTCTGTGGACAACTGCCAAGCTTAGTCAGCCCTTTCGACGCAAAGTTTTTGGCAGGTCCATGGGTGAAGACGAAGCCTCTTGCAGAAGCGTTACAAATATAACCCAGCCCCAAGGATGCCAGCACACTAGCCGTACAGTCCGTTGAGCCTGGCCCAGCCCCAGCGAGGCCGGTGCATGCTGCCGTGATGTGGAGTGGTGGCTGCCACCTCCCTGGCACCTCAAACAGGGCGGCTTGCCCCTGCCAAACGGCACAGAAAGGCAGCGGCTGGTGTCAGGCCAAAAAGATGGAGTGCGGCATCCAGGGCAAGAGCGAGAGATCTCCCGGGGGGGATTTTTTAGGTCCCTATGATAAGCCCGTCAGTTTGCGACTGTTGAAGGCAACAAGGAGGAGTGATGTGTTAGGAGAGGGGTGGTTTCCACTCGCCCCAGCCTTTGGGGCCATCCAGACCAGAGGGAGAGGTGCTGAGCAGCAGCAGCAGCAGCAGCAGCAGCAGCAGGGTCCCAGGGTATGCTGGGGCTCGTGGCGGGCACTGAGCGGTGCCGCCCCAGGGTGGGACTCCCCTACCCCCAGTACGTGCACTGCAGCCCTGCTGCCGTCCAGTGCCCCAGACACTGCTGTCCTGGAAACAGCATGTGTTTATGCAGCTGAATGTCACCTTAATTTTCAGTTGCCCACAGCCCCTTGCCTGCTCCAGGCACTGCAGCGAGCAAAGAACCAGCTGAGGAATGCAGGCACAGTGCATGCTGTGTTTTGTACATCCAAAGCCCCTAAGAGCAGCAAATATAAAGAAGAGGTGCAAATACAAGGCTGGTTAGCGTGCTGGGTGTGTTCAGCAAACACACTCACTTGGACCCCAGTGCCCCTCTGTGGTTACTTCTTCCTCTAACTTTTGTAAAAGCAACAGCAGCAAAATTAGCAGCTGATATCCAGAAGATGCTGGGAAAATGTTAAATGCTAAAGCAGAAGGCAGGGCGAGCCTTCCTTTGGTGCTGCAGCCGCTGCAGCCGCTGCAGCTTGGCCTCTGCCAGGGATGCCCTGGCACCACGTAGGTGACACCCTGGTCAGGCAGCGGCACCAGCAAAGCAGGGAGCGGTTAAATGTTTAAACAGGTAATAATTTCCAGCCTGCATGCACAAGAGGCAGATTCCCAAGGAAGCTAGTTGGTGCCTTCCAGGCTGCTATAAGGGCATTAAAAAAAGCCGGCGCCCCCGCCCCTCTCCACAGCCGTGCTCATCCCCACATTCCTCTGGCACTGCCCGGGTCACGCAGACCTCCTCGCCTGCCACGCAGACCTCCTCGCCTCACCTGTCCTGTCCCGGGCGCCCTGCCACCCGGCCACCCACCCTGCGGCTGCCAGCCGGGTGCCTGCAGGGCTCCAGTTACAGCCCTATAAAGGGGGCCGGGGTGCGGGGCCGGGAGGGAGCCCTGCCGGGTGTTTCACAGCCCCGCGGCCATGGGGAGCGGTGCCTTTGCCCTGGTCCTCACCCTGGCCCTGGTCACCCACCTGGCGGTGGGCGTCACCCCTGCGGAGAGGAAGGTACGGTGACGGGTGGCGATGGGGATGTGGCGCTGGCACCCTGCTAGACCCCAAAGGCTGCTGCTGGGGCTGCGGTGCTCAGCAGGGAGCCAGGGCCAGGCTGCCAGAGCTGGTGGGACCAGCGCTGTGCAGTGCTGAGGGAAGCTGCGGAGAGGCAGGGAGGGAGGGACTGTTCCTGCAAGGATGCTCCTCACTGTGGGAATCCGTCCAGAGACAGACAAATGGAGCCATGCCCCAGAGAAACCCTGGCTTCCCACCAAGCGTGCGGGAAAAGCAGCACACCCTCTGCTTTAGCATGGGGAGGACTGGCTCTCCCTGGGTGGCAGCAGCAAACAGCCCAAAGCAGCAGCTGGGCTGAAGGCAATCAGTGCAATGCTCGCGCTGAGGTGGCTATGCCGGTGGCACCAGCTTCACAAAGGGTCTGTGGCGCATCCCCCAGTGCTGCAGGCATCCCCAGGCACAGCCAGAGTGGTGGGGCAGGAGCAGGATGCCCTGCCTGCCTGGCTGGGGACCCCAAGCCACAACCCGGGCC